AAGAGACTCTACAGAAGCATGGCTTGTCTTTGGTGATTTCAATGAAGTTTTATCAAAAAATGAAAAATGGGAAGGACGAGATAGACATCAACAACAACTAGAAAATTTTCAGCAGATGTTCTTTGACTGTGAGCTAAGAGACCTTGGATTCAAAGGCCCCCAATACACATGGTATAATGGAAGACACGAATCTACCCAAATTTTTGAAAAACTAGATCGCTTCATTGCTAATGATTCCTGGTGTCGACTCTTTGCACAAGCTTCAGTTACTCATGGCTCCACTGCATATTCAAATCATCTCCCTTTATGGATCCAGCTGGATGGTGATTATAAAAGACCTAGAAGACCTAGACCTTTCAAGTTTGAATCAATGTAGCTTGGAGAAAATGCCTGCATTGATATTGTGTTAGAACAATGGAAGGATACTCACTCTCAGAATCTGGACAGCATTATGGAAAATATAAGGGGCTGTTCTCTTTACCCTTTTTAGGCCGTTTTCTATTTTCGATTTTTCGAAACGGTGAAAACGCGTTCTCTTTTCTATTTTCGAAAACGCGTTTTTAAAAATTGAAAAAAAAAATTACATTGAAAACTGAAAACATTGGAAATCACGTTTTGATTGTTTTGAAGCCAAAACACAGTAAATTTTAGAAAACACGGGAAACGACTTCTCTGAACTTACTCTCTGTCTCTCCCCTCTCCTGTAACATTGGCGTCCTCTGGTTTTCCTTCTCCAATCTCACAAACCCACAATCCAATTAAGCTCGTGTTGCCAAATCTAAGGGTTTTCTACTGGTTCTTTCAATCAAGTTTGCCTACTCTCACTATCCCTCTTATTGATCAATCTGTTTTTTTTTTTTTTCATATTTATTTTCAAAAATAGGAAAACCAGTAGAGTTTTCTAAAGAATTTGGGTCCTTTTGAAAGTGGATAAAGGGGGGATTTAGCTGGTATTTTGAACTGGGTCTGATCTGTTTTTCACAATTTGTGGTTTTTTTGTCTAAAAAAATTGTCTTGAAGCAGATGGAGTATTCGGTTTTTGTTTAGCTATTGGGAGTTTCTTAAACTTGGGGAGAAGGTGTTTGTTTTGTTACCATCGACCGCTTTCCTGAAATGAATTTGAGGTGTTCTAGGTGATTCTGTTTACATAGAAGGGTGTGGCAGTTGGGATTTTTTTGGTAACTATTTTCCTATTTTGTTTTGGAGATTTGATGACATCTGATTTTGTTCAAGATGGGATTAAGCGGTGATAGCTTGGAGGTGGGGTGTTGGGAGGTGGGGTAATCAACGGTTAGTGAAGTCAGTCAAATAAATTCTTTCAACTCGTCATCTTACCTTTATTGGAGTAGCTTATGACATCTTTCGAGAAATTCCCATTCTGAAACATACCCAGCTTCTTTCTACAATCACAACCCTACTATGAACTGCTACAATGCTGTTTCTTCTCATCTTGATGTCCTGTTGGGTAATTGCTATAATCAACTTTATTTCACAATTGCACTTGAATGTGGAAGCCAGATTATCCACAAATTCAAATGTTTCTACGGTAGTAGGGATTTTAATTCTTGCAAACAAGAATAATGCTAAACCAAATAAAATGGAATATAGTTCATTTGGGCACATGAATGCGTATTGATCTCTGTTGAGGTGAATCGGACATTGGCCTGACACGTACATGGATTATCTTACATTGCTGCTTTTTAGCTTTTTCAAATTTACAGAACAGAAGAAATAATTGCTATTTTCATGTACCAAGATCAAATATTTTCCAGTGAATCGCATCCATGTTTAAATATCAGGATTAGCATTTAGCAGACTTGCTCTCTGTTGGCGTTGTACAAGGTCAAGTTCCTTGCGAATTCTGTTTCTCATGTTCGTGTTCTTTTGGCAGAAAGAGTTTTATTTATTTATTTTTTTCTATAGTGAGTTTGATTATTCTGTAGCACTGCATCTAGTCATTCTTCCTTAATTTGTAAATGGATCTAAAACTAGTATAGTTGTATAACTGGTAAATAATTGTTTGAACTCGGGAAAAAGAAGCAAAATGGAGATGCTGAAGTGGAGACTGGGTGTTGGATTAAGTTAAGATATATTGGTAGCTGTATTTCTTCCAGATCAAAAGTTGATAGCTCACTTAGTGACATCAACACTCATGGTAATCCATTAATTGATTTTAATTATGTCTTATATTTTTAGTTTAATCTCTGCTGTTGGAATAGTATGTGATTTCCATATCTTTGTGTTGTATTGTTTTAATCTTGAAAGTGATTTGCTGAATAGAACCTATGCCTGATATTCAAGATTTTTAAACGACAAGCTGAACATTTATTTCTGTTAATTTTCTTCGAGGATGGGAGCCTTTTTGTTATTATTTCAGTTCATTGAATAAAGTCAGAATGGACTATAAAGGATTTAATTGATTGCTTTAAGTCTTCTTTATTTTCTAAATCATTTGATTATAATACAATTTAAATTGTTTCTTGTACCCTTAAAACAATCTTATGGAAGGATACAAATCCTTCCTTACCATGATCTGTCTAGGTATTTTCTTTCTTCTTCATTATGTATTTGTGCATATTCTCACACACATGAACACAGACCTTCACACAAATCCCATAGGGACAAAGGCATTGTGAATAGCACACCATTCCATATACCATGAAGTATCTAGGTATCATCCATCCAGCTGAAGTTGAACTTTTGATGAAATTTTGTTTTACCATCCAGATGACGAAGATTTCCATCATCCAAGCTCTTTCAAAGGAAAAGACTACACAAACTTGCAAACTTATTCTGATGCCCTCTCAAAGGACCAAGTTTGGAATGGACGACAACTCCAGCAACAAATGAAAATTTAATAAATGTCACTATTGAAGAATTATTTGACCTTGTTAATTAGGCACACAGTGGACTTTTGCAATGTAAAATTGAAACCTACTCCAAAACATGTTTTTGCACATGTATTATTTTAATCTCTTGTCACCGTATTTGTTCTATTTTACATCGCCAACTTATATCTAGTAGTTTTTGCACTCATGGTAATCCACTAATTGATTTTAGATTCCTTATCATTGTTGATTCACATTCTTGCTTAGGATCTTTCTTTCATAAGTTCATTCTCTGTTGACACCAACCTTAAAACTAGCATTTTCTGTTGCATCTTATATTTTGATATATCTTGTGATCAATTGAAACACAATGTTGAAAGCACTCG